CCCCCCCCCCCCCCCCCCCCCACGCAGGAATGAAGGCAAAGTTGGCGTGAGCGGAAGCTGGTCCAGGATTTGACCAGCAGATCGTCTGTACGGTAAGCGCCAGTTGACTCTACATCACCTCCACCTCGTTCCATAGTATAGCTGCTAGAAATTGTTTTTGTTTTGATCACCCCTGACTAGATCAACCACTTTCACAATTACAATAATAATTGTGCCTTTCTTGAGCATGGAGTTCCGAACTCTCCCATCCACCAGATTATTGTACTATTTCACGTTCCTCAAGTTTATAATCATATGCAACTCATCTCCTGATCCACTGAAGGCGCGCAGGACCGCTTGTTTCACTGGAGGGCTGCAAACTCTGATGGGAGTCCACATGGTTTCTGCAGTGGTTTGCCTCTTGGAATAGTCCCTACTTTCTCCTTCTTCCGTTACGTCTCTCGAAACGAAGCGTCCTTTCTGATGTAGAACTCGGCTCGAATGCACCCCCCGACGTAAGCGTCGGTTTGCTTTTCAAGGAGAGGGCAAGCTATGTCAAGGGCAGCGTCCAGTATGTGACCTCCAATAGTAAACGCATACAATCTTTTTCTTAGGGCGTCAGGGGGATTTCGGTCTCCTCAGGTTTCAGATGAGGCGCCATGGGGAACACAGAGTGTGTAAAGCATTTTCCAAGTCGCAGTATCGTAGGCTTTGACGGAGCATTCCCTTGCTGGCTGACGTGACAGAGACAGACAGAGAATGAGTCGACGCTGCAGCGCTGCGACGCTGTGTAGTATGGGTCCTGTCGTGACGCACATTACCCCGCCTTGAAACGCTCCTTTCGAGCGCTCGCCGCGGCCGCCGAAGTAGTGCCATACACCCTCTGTCATACCCTTTACTTCTAGAGTTTATGTGACCCTGATACTCTTCGATCGCCAAGAATATTTATATTACTATATTTATTTATATTGTTCATGATGTGCTTTCTAACCGTAAGCAACGTTAATGCTTACAGATGTCCGCTCGCCTAGCGGGCTACACCGCTATAGGCTGTTCCAGCATAGCGCTGGTTATAGTCAGCCTGTTCGTGCCCACTCTATGGAACAAGATCAATAGTATCACCATTGATCTCCATAAGGTGATTACCGATTCTATTTGAGAAACCCACTTTACTATTACATTCGCTTAAGTTGGGCTTTCATTTTAGGATATGGAAGAGTTCCGTCAGCTGCAAAACGGCGTATGGACGAATATCCGAGGAGAACGAAGGGCAAAGGTTGGTATCGTGGCGAGGACAAAAAGGCAGAGCTACAACTGCAGTAGGTTATTTGGTATTGAGTTCCACACTCACGTTTGGAGTGATAGTGTATTTGGTCCTTTGCAGATTGCAACGCTAACGCTAACTGTCCACCAGGACCACCCGGAGAGCCCGGTGCTCCAGGTCAGGATGGCGCCCCGGGTCTTCCAGGACCTCCCGGAGCACCCGGAATGAGCGGTAATATGCCGTCTGTAATGATGCATTCCACGGAGCAATGTCGCATGTGCCCTAACGGGCCACCTGGCTTCCCCGGCCCTGTTGGACAACCTGGACCTCCTGGTTTGGAGGGCATGTCAGGAACAGATGGCATGCCTGGCCCTGATGGTCATCCTGGAATGCCTGGAATGCCAGGTCTGCCGGGAGAACCGGGAACACCCGGAACTCCTGGACCACAAGGAGAGAAGGGCCGAGACGGTGGATCGATGGGCAAGGGACCTCCAGGAGAAGCCGGAGAACGTGGAATGATCGGGCCACCTGGATTCCCTGGACCGGACGGAAGCCCTGGAAACCCTGTAAGTCAGCTGAGTTACCAGATTTTTCTGTAATATTAACTCATTGCTTTTACAGGGACTCATGGGACCAATGGGACCACCAGGAGAAGCTGGAGAGACTGGACCAGAAGGACCACCTGGATTCGATGGCAGTACTGGACCTATGGGAGCGCCTGGAGAGGACGCAAGCTACTGCCACTGCCCGACCAGATCGAAATCGAAGACATGAGTGATGGCGATTTCAGACGAATAAATTGTTTATTATAGAGCTGATAGACCTAATACGCAATGAAAAACATTGAATAAATTGAAATATTAAATTACAATGGAGAGTTCTTTGAGGGATAGAAAGCAAAGGGTTTAGCTTCTGTTTCGTGCGTGCGACTTGTTCGAGTTTCGTTTGAGCACGTTACTTAAACCCAACATTTGGTCATCGTGAGTCCTTGCCTTTTATCGGCAGTCTCGAGTGGTTTCGTTGGGGATGGTAAGGTCTGGTACCCTTGTCGCAGGTATCTGTTGCAGTCTCCCACTTCAACCCAAAATAGCCACTATCTGTTAAACTGGGAAGCGAATGACTTCCTCAAGCACCACTATTCTTAATGTTGTGTCCTAGGCAGCAGCAGAATATTTGTTTGTTGGAAGACAGTAGAATATCAACATAGTAAATAACATGGACAACCCGTTTATATACTCCTCTGCCTGGTCAAAAGATCCAGGCAGACCTAGTACAACACAAGATCAAATACCTACATCTATGAGATCACGATGTCCCAACACTTACGCCTCAAAGCATGAAGTCACCTCCAAGAAGACGATCCTTTCAGAAGGCCTTTCCCTGACACAGTACCATTCACTCTGCGTAGGAACTCTGCGAAGGAAAGTGTGCTTGCGGGAACACTTGGTTTTGGGTAGCGAAAATTGTCCCACATTTGTGTGTCACGTATCCTATGGGCCCTTATTGCTCTTGATTTGTGCCTATCAACCCACAATAGGAGACCCATAAAGATAATCGAGCAGAATGATTTTGTCCCCTCCTTGCGGCGCTTCGTTGCGCAACGCATGATGCATCATTGCGAGTTTTCTCGTCTCTTTAGCTTGGATAATACCATAATTGCGATAGATCAGCACGAACGCGATAGTGGAACGGCAATCGGATAAGACGCACTTCTCACAGTTTATTTCGCAATTCACAATTCAAGAGCTACAACTCATGGTCAGTAGAATCAACAACTAGGCTGATGCGACGAAACTGTAAATTTTTTGTTTCGCTTGCTTGCTAAATGCAAAATTTGCGGGTGTTGGAGAACAGGATAGGCATCAGCCCGTTAAGTTAGGTTACAACAATCAGTGTAGAACAAGCTAGCACCGCGCCAAACTCGGCTCGTTGGCACGACCCAGCGGCTGCAGCGAAGACGACCATATATGATTAAGTGACTTTTTCGGAATCAGGTCAAGAACTTTACGAAAACGCGGCGTAGCTCCACCTCCGTTGCACGGACGCAGTGGTTTGACTGTAAGGCGTTTCTGACATGTGCTACGGGAGCCCACGCCAATTCGTTTTGGAACGCAAGGCACGCAAGCGTGAAAGGATGCTCGCAAGCACTTCAACTGGTATGCATGTGTGAGCGTTGATGAAGTAGTTTTGGTGAGAATCTTTTCGAGCACCTTGAGAACTGAGAACAAAATCAACAAAAAAAGTTAACAGAACACACCTGGCCTCCTTGGTATCACCTTCAGAAACCTTCATGAGTCTGCTCGAAAAGTCATGTTACAATTCGTTCTGCAAAAGAGCAGACCCAAGATTTGAAAACACAGCCTCAGAAGGCACGAGTTTGTTCAGCGCTGTGAATGGAAACCGAAAAGCAGTCTGACGCCAGCAACTCAGCAAGGTTTCCGATATTTGTTTGTAGTGCTTTCATGGCTGCAATGAGCCTCTACTTTTGCAGACGGCACTCACTTGTCACGCTTGTCTTCGCCCATACAGCGCAGCATGCACCAGTCAGCATAGCTAGCATTGGTAATTGCCGTGAGAAGGAACTGGTCAAAGGTAAAGCACAGGGTTTCCCTTCGAAGAAAACACAGAACACAGCATTTCTAGTCAAAAACCACACATGCCCGATCTTTGCTGCGCATGTGCGGTCTGCTCGCTGCAGATGATAGGGCGTGCCAAGAGGGGAGGCTACTAGCAGGGCGCCAGCCCATTTTTACTCTATCACCTACCGACAAATCTATATCA